TCAGAAATCCATCCAGATTTTTAAAAATGTAAGGATACTTGGCATCCCTTGGAAAATGTATATAAACCGTGCGTAGAATTTTGYACCCTTTACCTGGAAGTTCTAGAACTACATCCATATACTCTAACTGCTACAGAATTTGTGCTGGTGTTGTTGAAGACAGTTTTAAGTTTAGAATGTTTTAGTTTCCCATGCTAAAGATTATTTGCTTAGATCTACTTGCAAACTAGTAAGTTTCTTAAAGTAAATCTCCCTGTTTCCCATATAGATATGGAGGTCAAATGATGACTTGTTTTCCTCATGAGGTAGATCTATAAAACTTCAGTAATCTTATGAGGCCATCCTACTCCTTGCTGGAATAGATACAACTGTAAGTTTTGATGGCTCTGTGAATTTAAAACTCCTATGTGGATTGGATAGAAGACAAAGGCAATAGTCATGATTTCAATGTAGCATTCCTCCTTAAACCTTTATTATTTCTTTATTGTTTCCCCCACTCAACACTTTCCAGAAGTTGAAACATTCCTTCCTTGAATCAGGATTTGTTGAGCATGAATGACAAGACTAGCTTTAAAGTCATCCATTATTAATGGTTTCACTTTCCTCAAGTTACTACAGTCTGAAAATATTAAATGGGAAATTCCTAATTTGTAAGTTTTAAATTGTGCACCATTATGAGTAGTGTGATGAAATTTCAAGGTTTACCACTTCATCCCACCCAGGACTTGAATTGTTTATTTATCTAGGGTATCCACATTGTATATGCTACCTGCCCATTAGTAATATAGTAGCCATCTTGGTTATTAGATAAATGATTGTGGTATCGCAGTGTTTGTGTTCAAGTAACCCTTATTTTTATCAAATAATGGCCCTGAGCTGCAACAATAGTATGAACAGAATTTGGGTATACCAAAGAGAGGCTGTAAAGTGCTTTCTTTAAGTGAAGCAATGAAAGTACAATAAGGTATTAAGAGAGAGGGAGAGACCATATTCACATAAGTTTTAGTACAGTGTATTGTTGTAATTTTTCTAATTTATTATTAGTTATTATTGTTAATCTTTCATTGTGCCTAGTTTATAAATTAAACTATCATCTGTATGTATGTATAAGAAAAAAGTGGTATAGATAGGGTTTGATATGATCTATAGTTTGAGGCATCAACTGGGGGTCTTGGAATATATTACCCATGAATAATAAGGTGGGGGACTACTTCATAAAGATTTAGTGTATGATCTCTGTTTTCAATAGGCTTATAGCATTGCAATTTACTTTTTCAGTTTTTCCCCCTGTATCTCTTATGCTATATAAGAGACTAGGTGATGGGGAAATGATTTTTTTAAAATCAAATTTCAATTGAACTTTCCTAGAATACACTAATGTACAAGTACATCCTAAAATGTAGGCCAGTATAATATTCTTTTTAACTTATTAAGGTTAAGCTAAGCAGGATGTCTTCCCTTTATGATATTATATTTTAAGAGTTCACAGTTAGAGATTTAGACCTCAGAGTGCATTTTCATTCTGGAAGAAAGAGTGCTCCTTAACAAAAAAAAAAAAAAAGGTCAACTGTGTGGTTATATGAAAATTTAATTTAGTGCTATCAAATAGATCTTATTGCATTATTGATGACTATCTTCTGTGAACTGATAGCATGAATGTTTCTAAATATTTGAATATTGGTGTCTGATTGAAAAAGAATATATGGGAGGAATGATATTTCTCAATTTGTAGCTAGATTAGTTGGCATCTTGGAGACAATTCTTTTATTATCATTCTTACTACTCAGAATGAGAATTTTAGGGCTCTGATTTTTATAAAAATTGATTGAACCATACTGCTTTGTTTTTTTAAGAGTGTGTCTGCCAGAACAGTCTTTCTTTGTCCAAAATATGCAGTGTACCTTAAGGGTACTTGAATTTCAGAGGAAATGGTAAATATCTCAATCCCATATTTTCTTTAAATTAGTCTCTGTCACGTACAGGTATCCCTGGTTCCATTCAACCCACATATTCTATTTTATTAAATTCTTATTCATTAAATTATCCTATTAAATTTTATTCTGTTGCTTTATTTGTTCTATTAATATGCTATTTTAAAGAAATATGAGCTACGTAAAAAAATTTTTAAAAATCCAAAACCCATTTTACATTCTTATAGCAAAAACAACTGCTCAGCTCGTGTAGCCCTGTGGTAGAGGCTGGCCTTGTACACACAAGGTCTGGATTCCAACCCCAGCACAGAAAAACAAATAGAAAATCACTAGAGTAAGTTAAGATTATTTGAAATATATATTCTAGTATAAGTGCTCATCTGAAAAAAAAACAAGAGTAACTTTTTAATTGAATTTTAACCTATTTTTGAAGTCTGTTCAATTCAACTTGTTATAGAGGGCTGAGTAGAGGAGAAGAAGGAAAGTAACACACTCTTACTTATGAGAATGGAGATAGGTGAATTATAAGAAAACATAGTGGGGGCTGGGGATGTGGCTCAAGCGGTAGTGCGCTCGCCTGGCAAGCGTGCGGCCCGGGTTCCATCCTCAGCACCACATACCAACAAAGATGTTGTGTCCGCCGAGAACTAAAAAATAAATATTAAAAATTCTCTCTCTCTCTCTCTCTCTCTCTCTCTCCTCTCTCACTCTCTCTTTAAAAAAAAAAAACATAGTGGACCCTCAAAAGACTTTTAAAACATATGCAACTGTAAATTATCCTTGATTTATATATATATATATCTATATAGATATAGATATATATATAAAAATCAAGGATAATTTTATATATAATATATAAATTTTGTGTGTGTGTGCTGGGGAGCAAACCTCAAGGCTTTATGCCAGCTAGGCAAGCATTCTACCACTGACCTATAGTTGAATTTTTTTTTTAAAAAAGGAATAAGTGCTTAGGGGTGGGGAGTGGCAGAGCACTTGCCTAGCTCATACAAAGGCTCAGGGTTCAATCCTTAGCACTGGGGTTAGGAGGGGCATCATGAAGAATGGATGCTTAATGTGACATAGTGATATGGATAGACATTGGAAACAGGGGTTCTTTCTTCTTTCTGCACTTTATTGTAATTGCATATTTACTTATCTGACCTCCCCATTACTCTAAGGAGTAAGATACAATTAATGATTTTGAAACGTGGTCACACATTGGAATCACCTAAAAAACTTTTGAAAAATATAATGCCTGATTTAATTGGCCTACAGGAGGTAGACTAGGCATTAGTATTACTTAAAAGCTATCATTGTATTTCTTTTTTTATTTTAATTTTTATTTTTTAGTTGTTTATAGACCTTTATTTTTTTTTATTTGTAGATGGTATTGAGAATTGAACCCAGTGCCTCACATATGCTAGGCAAGTGCGCTACCCAGCCCCAGCCTCAGCCCCTATCATTGTAATTCTAATATGAAACTTGGGTTGAGAATCAATGGTGTAGGGTTTTCAGTTACTAGCACAAGCTCTGGCATATAGTAATTGTTTGATAAATATTACTTGGATGCTTGAATGAAACCATAAATGTGTTCTTTGTGAAACAAATATAAACATATGATTCGGATTTTTAGTATACTTTCTTTTATTGAAGAATGTATAAAATAATTTAAATCCTATAGATGCATATTTATGCTGCCTTAGATTGCAGTATTTAGTTATCAACTTAAAAAATAGATATTTGGAATATTCATTGCAAACATATAAGTGTGTTTTGGTTAATCTTTCACATTGTTTTCTCGAGCAAATTGGTAAACTTTCATACTATAAATTTTATGCTATGCCAAATACCATTCTTAATCTGCTATCAATGCCAAGTTTAAGGTAGAGCAGAAAAGTGTGTCTGTTAGCTTATAATTGTGTTAAAGCACATATATTCTACTTATGTGTATTCAAATATAATATTTTTTATACTGCCATCACGCAAATTTAAATTTTTTCTTTTTCTATAAATCTGTTGTTCTTTCAACACACATTTCTAGTCATGTTGTGGACAYGGTGTGTACAGTGGGTAGTGCAAAGGGCTTATTATATGCACTTCACTTATGAAGATATATTTTGTATGAGGGTCAAAGAAGAGAATTTGTCCATGGATTCTTTTGTCTTGAATAACTTTCCACTGATCAATATCTCCTTTATTAAGCTCCCAAATAATGAACCTTCTGCTAAGGATTAAGAGTTGGGGATGAATCTCACTTCCTGTGTTAGCAGTACAACTTGAACATTTTCAATGTTTCTGTGTTGTTTGGGACAGTCTTCGATAAATGAACAACAGGAAAGAAATTGTATGAATCTGGGTTATATTCTATATATTATTTGATAAAGTTAAATTTTCAGATTGACTTTTATATTTTTTATCTTCTTTGCATAGCCAGAAATGATATAGGAACTGGAACTCTTAACTCTCAACTGCCATTGTTAGAGGAGTCCACTGCATTCAACTGTAATGCTTGTTTAATTTATGAAATGAATGAGTGATAGGAAAGTGTCCAAAGACTGGCATGGTAGAAAAACACACATTAGCTTCAAAACTGAGCAGCTAGGTAAAAGATTTAAGGGTACAACAGATGGGGATCCTCAAGTAGGATTGTGGACCCATACTACCTGGGGATCTTTTTAAAAGACGTTGTATAAATCCAGATTTCCTGATACAGAATCTTCGAGGTGGTTGTAGAGGAAGAAATAATGGAAAGGAATACTAGTAATCTGTAATTTTTTAATTTTTAATTTTTTAGTTCTCAATGGACCTTTACTTATCTATCTATCTGTTTATTTATTTATTTATATGCAGTGCTGGGATTCAAACCCAGTGCCTCACACATTCTAGGTAAGCCCTCTACCACTAAGCTACAACCCCAGCCCAGTAATTTGTATTTTTAATAAATCCTCCCTTTCCTTCCACTGGGGTTTGTCATGCAACCAGTTGGGCAAATGTGTCTTGTCAAGCATTTTGGAACCGCTGATATAAGGGAACGTAGAGTGGACAAGGAGTCAAGAAATTCAGTTTCTAGTGCTCGCTTTGGCAGCACACATACGAAAATTGGAACAATACAGAGAAGAGTAGCATGGCCCCTGCACAAGGATGATGCACAAATCCATGAAGCATATATTTTGCACAAATGGTGAGACTCTACTTCATGTACACCCAGAGAAGTGAAAAATTCCACTCCATTTGTGTACAATGAATCAAAGAGCTTTCTACTGTCATGTATAACTGATTAGGACTCATAAAAAAAGAAATTCAGGTTCTAGTCATAGCCCTTTTACTAGTTTATCTGGAATAATTCACTTAACCTTGACAAATTTCAATCTCCTTGGTGAGAGGCCTCATTTTTAGATAGTTTCTCTAGTGATTTATAAGGCTCTTTTGTGCCTAATTTATTGGGATTCTGTTAGTTTTATCTTTCATGACTTCCTGAAGCAAACCTCTAATAGAGGAGTAAATTCACAATAAAATGATTAAAGAGAGAATGAATGAAGCTGCATGTATATTCCACAAACAAAAACTCCTGGCTCAGGATTGAACTATGTACTGCACCAGAAGTTTGTGCATGTGCATACAAGTCTTTCTTTACATGTGTCCATCAACTGGGTCCGTTATTGGTCAACAAATTAGAAAAACCTGTGAAAATCACACTTGGGTTTTTAATCGTTTCAAAAAAGTATGTTACCTCCAAAAGAAAGCTACCCTTAAACATTAGCCCAAAAATTTTGCAAAAACACAATTTATTTCCTTGCCAGTTTTATCAAGCACACCTGGATGATGTCATCCTTCTTATCAGAGGACAGAAGTGTCTGTGTCAGCAAAACCTAATAATTTCCTAATCATTGACTATAGTCATTACACAAATATGCTATGTATATGCCTACATCTATAATCCTATATGAAATAGCACATAATCATAGAGTCATTACAAAGGAGAGGCTCAAGAAATGTTTGTTGGAATAGTAAAATAAGCAAGAAAAGAAAGGAAGAACGAGGGATAGAGTACAGTGGGGTTAATGATGAGGATGATGTTTTCTATTATTGGATATCACACAATCCACAGTAGCTTATTAATCTTCCATAGGAAATATATTGGGCATGTAGATCTCCCATGGAGGTGTTAAAACAAGATATCGAGTAGGAGGACTTTCAGAATTGATTCTGAAAGGAATTGCTCACCTTCTTTTAAGCAGAGGCTTTCATTGACCACTTTCCCCTCCTTGTTGATGATTATTTTCATCCAGCTATGGAGGTATTTCCTGCCTTTCTTGACCACTACTTTGGGGCCTTGTTTCTTGAGAAAGAAGGAGGTATTTTTGACCTCCAGGAACCCTTCCTGCTCGTAGCAGGTCCATCGGGGTGCCTGGGAGCAGGGGGTGAGGACAGCTGCACGGGAAGGGCCACCGGAGGAGTTGGAGATGCCCAGGCACAGTGCAGATCCAACATGGAGGAGGTTTCCATCCTCAGCCCACAGCCACTGCTGGTTCTGGCTGGTACCATTGCAGGCTCCCACGATCACTCTCTGATTTACGAAAAGGCACTGATGTTTCTGGACATGGACAATCTGAAACCCCTCTGGAAGATGAAAAGCTTATAAAGTGTTGTATAGCAAGTTATAAGACCTGTTTAAAAATAAAAAAAACCCACCTACCCACAAATGTAAAAATACTAGGTTTATTTATATTTTGCTATTTCTACCATTTCAAGTGAATATTCCTAGAGTCAGCATATGTGATTTAAAATCCCAAGGCTAATAAATACATAAATTAATTCAACTAAAAGTTAAAAGTCTGATGATCAAAAATGTCAAAACGTTACACTTAGCAACCACCTCTCTCCTCTTTTGAAGCTTTCACATGCTGTGAGGGAGAAAACACATATACCTCATAACAAAAATGAAAGGAAACTTGGAAAAGAAACAAAACCATCCAGAGAATACTGTTTTTCTGTGAATAAGGAAGGACCCATCCAAAGAAAGTGGTGTCTCATGATGTGAGCCCAATTAGTTAAATATGCTACGGTTATGTAAAGCTCAGTTCCCTTTTTAAATCAGTCAACTCCATATCACCTCTTTCATTCTAAAAAAATAAATCACTTTTTCAATCCTTGAACTCACACTGTAATAAGTATTTGTACACAAATTGCTTAGTTTGCATAAAAATTTTAAAAATTGCACATATTTACCAAAATATAAATATAAAACAATATTTTCCATCCCTCCAAGGACAATCTCCTAGCTGATAGCAACCAATGAAAGCATCAATTATCACAAACTGAGTTTCCATTCCTCCTGGAGAGAAGCTACTATTTTGTGATAATGCCTACAAATTTTCCTTAAATACTAACAGGTTTAAGAACAACAACAACAAAAAACCCCTCAGCATTTCTTGATGTAAGAAAATTAAATACCCACTTGTTAAACATTCACATTAAAAAGTAAGCTATTCAGGCTCAGAAGCGTTTTTAATGAGTTTTGACTTAAATTGCCCACTTCTCCCATGAAAATATTCAGCCCTTCCAAATGACAACTTCTAGATAAAATACATCTCCTCACCCCCTTCAATCATATTCCTTCATAGTTTCTTCCTTTAATATGAAAAAAAAATCAGAACTTTAACCTGATTGGAAAAGGGCATGGGGGTGCTCCAGCCTGTTACATAATAGTAAAGACATCTCCTCAGGGTGCTGTTCTCTCCCCTGTCAAGATGCCCTGCGAGGGGCTGAGCTGCCCAGAGCCTCTGGAGGACCCCAGGAGACGTTTCTGTTCTTTGTGGGAGAATTCTCAGCAGGGTGGGCACAGTTCCCTCCTCACTGTCTTTGGCTCCACTCTCCTGGAGACCTGGTTTCATTTCTGCCTGATCAGCCACTTTTCAAAGGCCACGGGGGACTCCTCTGTTAGATCTGGGAGAAATGCCTCAGGATACTGAGGCAGACCCACTCACCCGAGCTCCCGAAGATCAGGCTGGTAAGAATCGCCATGTAAAATTCAGCCTCCATTTTCCACTTAACAACTCTTCATGCTTCGCTTGGGGGGGAAAAAAAATTCTCCCAGATAAGAGAAGCAAAGACTAGGAAGGAAACGTGCCTTCATGGTGAGGGGAAAAGTCAGTGACGAGCGCTTCCTCCAATTGAATTGTTTGGGGAAGTTTTACACCAGTGTCCTTTTGTCTGTTTCCTTAGAAAGGAGGGATTATGATTACCTCTCTCTTTTTTAAATGTTAGATCTAGCCTCCAGGAGCAGAATAAACCTCCTTAAGTCTTCACCTACCTTCCTTTTGGCACAGGACTACTTCTTAACCTCAAGAGGGAAGAAAAGGAATTGTGATTGTAGGTAATGGAGTGCTTCTGCAACGTGACATCTTTTCAGGTGATGCGATTCTGCTGAATATACATAAACCATGTAATTTACCAGGGTCCATGACAAGTCATATAAAGACATGAACATGTACTGTTTGTATAATGATATGCTGGGAGTCGATGAGGAAAACCACATAATGATGGCACTTCTGGATCATTATCTCTCAAGGGATGACAATATTCCATTTCAAGAGAGTCATCTCCACTGGGGAGATGCAGAGACTAAATTTAAACTCATCACATTATCTACTTCAGGCTTCCCCTACCAGATAATGGCCTTTCTCCCAGTAGAGAAAAAAAATAAGATAAAAAGAATATACTTTACTCAATATTTAGTATTAAGAGTAGTTTATTGGCAGTATGAAACAAAATCAACATTGCTGCATTAAAAATTCATTTTTGAGTGGAACATCTAGGTGTTTGCTGAGTGTAATTATTTTAATTTTATTTGTCTCTTGAGGATTAAAACCTTTCAGAAATGTAAGGACATACATGGCAGCATCCTTTTGAAGAACTTCTGGAATTGGGAGTGGCTACAACATCCCCAAAGGTATCTGCCTTTAATTAGGAAAGATTCCAGGTAGACAGCATATTCAAAACTCCCTTCTTAGTAAAAGAGAGACAAGGATTAAATTCGGATGCTTTTTAGTTGCTACAAATTTGTTTTTCCCTTTTGAAGTAAAACAGTTCACAATGTAGAAATATAGTGGATAGAATTCTGGAGCAGGACACACCTCTATGCCTAATGGGAAATAGAATAAGTACATATATATCCAATGACAATCATTGTGCTCTGTAATTGATGGGAGGTACTATAAATACACATTTAATAGATAATATTATCAAGACACATTTCCATATAAAATATTAACTGCTTTTGATTTTTTTTCAAAAACAAAAACTTATTTGTTAAAAATCCATTATCAATCACTCGCGACTTTAGCAGCAAGATTCCAGTAACTGAGATAGGTAATAGCACTTAAAACAGGAACAGTTGAACAGCTGACAGTCCATTCACAAGACAGACTCTGCAAACATTAAAGCATCTAAACACACAATAATGATTTCTTTAGCAGCTCTTCTAGTCATCCCTTGATGACAGATACCACTGAATATTACATACACATGTTCTGTGTGTCAGATAGACAACACAGACAAAACAAAATCCACCTTAGACTGTGTGGGAAATGTATCATACCTCCATCAGCATAGGGCCTTTAGAATAATTTGGGGGGTGCTTACAAATGCATTCATGTACACAAGGGGCTGGCAGTCTTGAACACGTTGCCAAGTCTTCCATGATCCATGCCTCAGGTTGGCTTCAGAGCAGCTTTCCTTCCATTGCAGGAAGCTTCTTAGAGAAGCCTCAAGTGGGTGATTTGATTAATCACCCCAGAGATTGATGATCAGGTGAGTCTCCCACGAATCACTGGACAGTTTCTGCTGAAAGTCTGCTCTCGTACAGGCAGAGAGCATGATGTAAAAATTCATACTGCTCACTGGTTTGTACCATTCCACCCCTGCAAAGAAGAAATGACAAAAAAAAAAAAATCATTTTGTTAACCTCCTGCAATCTTGTAACCCAGAGACTATATTCAAGCTAGGATGTTATGCCAAAGGCACACAGAATAGTTCCATCTAATGATTCTTTTATTATCCCTTCTACCTGTGTCCAAATGTCCTAATTTGTGGGATTCCCATGTTGATACAGTCATGCACTGCACAATCACCTTGTAGCGTGATGCATTACCCCTGTGTTTGTGTAATACT